CAGCGGATTCCAGGGGGGTCAGGTGGCTGCATTTCACACTCGAGTCTTCGTTCATCTTGCGCGGGTTATCGGTGTACTCGTACTTCACATTGCAGTTGCCATTTTGGTCAGTCTTGGGGTTATCTTTACAAAAAATGCGCACGACAGAGCTCGACTTACCGCAGACTTTACTCAGCCGGAGCGCCACCTCGCCGGCCGTGGTGTCCATAGTGCAAAGGACCGGCCTGGGATACGAGGGCGTCAGTCTCTCGTGGACGTGTACGGAGCCCCGGTGGAGGTCCGCTCTCACCCACTCGCGATCCGCGGGCTGCAGCTGCATGTTCTGCCGGTGCTTCAGAAGAGTCTTCCTGTCCAGACTCCGGGTGTGCAAAGACGCAGAGGACAGGGCCGAGTTCATCTTGGCGCCACAGGCGACGGTGACAGCGGCGGCGGCGGTGGTGGCTGCAGCTGCGGCGGAGAGGTTCCTCTTCAAGCGCCTCCGTCTCAACAGGAGGGAGCTGGAGTTGCTGGACGAGCCCCGGCCATTAGACGCCGCGGTTCGGTTTGACGCACTAGAAGAGGCGGACTGGGGGAGGCTGTTCCCGTTCTTCGCCTCTACGCGGGAGGGTGCCGAATGTCCACCGCCATCATCCGCCGGAGTCCCCCGGGCGACAGACAGTCCGGTGGGCTTCTTCATTAACTTGGTCGCGCCTCCATCCGACGCGCCGTCCTCAGCGACAGCCTGCACGCTTTCCATCTCTGCCAATGAAAAGTCCCCCGCTCGAAACAAATAACGGTGCGCACTTGGTTACACCTACAACGTCTACATTTAAAAGCCGTAAAAAGCGTGCCCACCGTGCTAAATGTCCGCCAACAGGGCGGTGTTCCTGACTTATTCCACTAGTAGTCATTCACTTCTTGGCTTCCTTTCCTTGTCGGAGTCTCCTCCGCTCCTCCGGAGGGGGGGGAAAAAAACAAAAAAAAAACATTTCACCGATTAAATTCGCTGGGAAGAGGCTGGGCGCGCGGGGACGGATCAGGGCGGAGACGTGACTGCGCGTCCCATTTGGACCAAAATACAGTGCTGGAATATGAAATGAACGTCGGCCGACCTCCTACGCAAATGCTGGCTGATATATATTCATGAGGAGGACACAAGATGGGGTCGCTAACAACAACGCGGTGGATTGTGGGAAGTGTATTGTGCCGGGAAAGCGCCGTGCCGTCCCCGCCGGCAGCAGAGAAGTGATGTCACGAATACATTTCCCATGAAGCCTTTCGTCGGTGTCAGTGAAGTGAGGCGGGGGACAGATGGGAGGCGTAAACATAGCTCGTATAAAGTGTTTGGTGTGCAGCCTCTGAAGTACTTCCTCCTATCGGTTGTAGTCGCAGTACATATCTACGGGCTACCTGCATGCTGGCAGCTAAGAAAACGACCGTGTCAGGGTCACTCACTGAAGTGAAGTTACCGCATAAACAGCCATTATCAGTTGTCAACTGTTGAATATGAGAGTACACTTTGAACCGTCAATAATTAGGGTTACGTTCAGTCTCACGCGATGTGTTCACTTCCCTTTATTACAGTTCTGCCGCATGGAGATATGAAGCTCCGCTGTAGGTGTATATATTTCAGACTAGTGGTGACGAGGCAAATAACTTCAGCACCATCTCGTCAGGACGCCATTTCACAAGGCCATACAGGCCCAGGATCAGTGTTCATCCCCTCATTCTATTGTATTTCTCGCCATCTAGTGGAGCGAACCGCAAAGCTTGACCTAAACTCTTTTTTTTTTTTTGTTTCCTGTTGAGGACGCAGCGACCCTGAGCAAGAGCAAGGCCGGTGGTTTGTGTGCGTGTTTTGTTTAAGCGCACCTCTTTGTAAATGTCTTCAAGCTAAAAGAGTTATGCTATTATTAGACGTGCAAAATCCCGATATAATTATTGTCAAATGCATATGAGGTTTTTGCATATAATGCATGCCAATTCAAATTCCGGAGCATTTGCACGCCGACTTTTGTGAAAATGATGCAATTTCTGCAGATGTCTCACATTTATCTTCAGTCATAACCTAATAAGGAATCTTATTTACATACTTACCTAACATTAGAAACTAACAGCCTACATCTTCTTTTCTGGCTAATTATGGGATAGGTTCACAGCTGTTCAAGTCCGTCTTAAAATAATACTTCCACCCCCATGTGTACATATCCTGCTTGCTGTAATCATTCCTCCAGTTAATGCTGAAGGATCCCTTACTCAGCACATACGGGCTCCTCGTTTTAAGAGACTTGAAAAACTGAACCAGTCCTTTAAAAAACAGGGACGTCAAACATCAATTTGAAGTTAGAGCAGGTACAGGCTCCTTCCTGCTGAGATGCTTTCATTTAATTTAACCATGCATGTTTTTTGTTACATTTTTAGAGTCATGTATTTTCAAAAGCTTAATGGCTGAGCAGATTGTTAATGTTTCATGTATTTGCAGTCGGTGTCTGATCTCCCTCAGTAGAAAATTGGACAGTATGTGTGAGTTACAAACTGCATTCATAAGGAATTCTCTCACCTGAACACCGGTTATTATCCAAATACAAATTGAATATAAAGTACAGTGTAGTACACAGTAAAATGGGCCTTACAGGAGAATGAGTAAAATGGGTAATAAATAAATTTGTGAAGCAAGCCTGATTGCAGAAGAAAAATTTTTTGGCAAATTGCTTAGATGTACCAGAGTGTCTCAAATACTCTACAGGTCCCTCTATGGCAAAACCGTGGGCAGATTATTTTTTTTCTTCCTTTACAAAATAACTCGGAATGCATTCAGAAATGGGATTTAATTGGCATGATGTATCCTTTACATGGTATTCTGTATTTCAAAACTGACAAAAAAAGGAACACTTTCATATTGGTTCAGTTGCTCCATCAACATGTAAAAGGAAACAGATTATTGCTGAATTCATGTTCCTTGATTCCAGCAAAATGGAAAAGCTCATGCTCAGCCCAGCGGCTCAGGTCCGTTTCCTTGAGCTGAAATGAGAACATATTGGCGTAATTCATTCCTATTTTTATGCTCTATTGTACTGAACCCATGGGTGGAAAATTTCAAAAATAATGGCATGATGCTGGAATCATACAGAAGCTGGTTCGAATACAGAAATGACCTCCCATTTCAAAGTCTGAGATTAGATGACACAATGAAATATTGATTTTACAAAAAGGAGCAACGTGACCGGCGTCCTGATCCCGAGGATAAACTGCTCCAAACTGTAACAAAACCCCTATTATTTCACATAAAAACCATAAAGTGCAAGACAATTCTCTATGTCCCCAGGTTTTATTGAGTCATCCATTCATCACTGATCGAGACCTTGAAAATAAGGGAGCGCGCATTTTCCTTTGCGGACAGATGCATTATAGAAGGCGGCCAACAGCCTATCAACCTCCAACGCTTTTCTTCATCTGACAAACAGGAATTTCATATTGCAACTTTAAAAGTAATACAGTAAAAAATAATAAAAAATATTCTGTGTACATAAAGCTTATGAGCATTGGAATACTGGTGTGGGATCATAGATCAGGTGACAAGACCGTTGAAGAGACAAGATGGTCGCGGATCAGATATCCAACAATATTTTACACACGCGGGGCCCCGGCCTTAAAACAGTGACCGTTGTAAAGCCAAACTCTTTAGCAGTGCTAAGAATTGTAGCAATAAAAATCTAAAAATCCGGACTCAACGAATACGCTTCTACCTGGACTCGTGTTTAAAAAAATTTGAGATTGCATTGTCGTGTTCAATTGTAGATTTGAGACGGGATCAAATCGTGTCTGAATGTGTTGGTAAACCTGTGCAAGAGGCAGATGTTTTTGGTGGCTCAGTCAAGAGAAAAACGCAGAAAAAAGCCCTCCTGAATAAAGCCTTCCTAAAGAAAAGTACAAAATAAAAATAGAACCCTGAAGTGTGACGTCGTGTATAAGCACGGTTTAAAAAAAAAAAAAAAAAAAAAAAGGTGGTGGGTACACCTGTAGTTTAACCTTTTTCCTCTACAAACGACGGATATTGCTTGGTCAAAAGCTTATAATAACATGAGTAAAAAAAGTAAAATGTACAATACAATGCACATTATGAGCAAATATCATTAAAACACACTGCTGCAAACAAACGTAAGAGATAAGAACGTGATGAGCCAGCTCTTGGTATTTAGTTTCCAGTCCAAACAGCTGGGACATGTAAAAACACGTAAATGAATCATTTAAGATCCAAGTGCCTTTATAAAAACAATAAAAACAGACAAAAGAATATAAAACAGATCGTTGTTGCGCACACTGGAACCAGAATATATCTGCCAGCTGTAACTCTTACAATAAACTCAGACGTTATGTGACATGAATGACACTTTGTCAAGCATGATTCTTCTTTAAATGAAACTTTCCTTCTTCAATATAAACAACATGTACATTTGGAGAGAGCGCAGGCATTCCCCACACTCTCAAATTCACAGTTAGCAATTAGATGTCAACATTGTCGGCACAGTGAGAATTGCACATATGAAAGGGGGGGAGAGACAAAGTCGGGACTACGTAGTAATGACACAGAGGGGACTCTAGGGGGTGATATAGCCTAGGAAAAGCAGAGGAAAGAAAATATTGCACATGATTCTAATGGTGGACCCTTCCCTCCTGCATGTCTTTCCAAGTCCCAGCAGGTGCAGTGAAGACGGATCTTCTTCTGATGTAGTGAGCTCAGAACAATCAAGCCTGCATCCTTCGCACAGAGTTCTCCACGAGGACTACAGTAGTCCAGGGGGGTGGGGGGGGGGGGGGGGGGGGGGGGGGGGGGGAAAAAGAAGGGGGGGGGGATAAAAACGCGCCACCGGGGGGAGGG